TCCAAGGAGGTTGACCAAAAAGGCAGTTCAAGTCAGTGGGGACAGGAGTAGGAATGCGATGATGAGAGTTATGTAGGTTGGAAGGGGGTCAACATTTAGTTTGAGGGTTAGAATGCCTCCAGAAGGGAAATCTGGGAGTAAATTTGGTGTCAGTATAGCTTGGAGTCAAGTAGTATTTCAGGAGTTTAATAACATTCTTTACACTATTGTCCTCCAGGTAAATCTGTAACAATGGTTTATGTTTTCTCTACCTTATAGAGGAGAAGTTCGGGCAGTGGGGGGACAATTGACTAATCCTTGGCCATACGGTAATTTAAAAGGACATACATAGCTCTTGTAGGACTGAAATTTCCTGTGTTCCTTTCTTTAGAAGGGAGATACTAACACACTCCACCCAAAGAGAAGGAATAGCGGTCTTTTCAGAAATGGAGTATGGGAAAAAGAAACATTTTGTTCAACCAAATTAAAGACTCTGTATGTACTAAAAACAATGGTGATTATAAGAAGACTGTGCTTTGGCATTTTGGCCACAGAAATTTGGGTTTCTTTGCATGTCATTGCACAAAATGTGCTTTAAGTGGGCCAGGGTGCTATAATCAAACATGGTATAGTTGAAGAACGGTGTCTGTGTGTTCCATCACATGATCGCTCTGCGCCGAGGCACCCTGGCAGAGATTTATATGAATTGTTATTCACGTGCTCTGGCTAATCTCAAAGAGAGGGCAGAAGCGTTTCTAGCTTGTTCAGTTTTTTTCCCTGACTATCTGAGGAAGTTGAAAACTTGAGGACTTAATAAAGTTTAGTGGCATTGTGTTGATCCTTATAAGTAACTAGTTAAACTATTTGGATGCCAAGTTAAGAATGATAATGAGGGAAAGACTGAGGAATTACTGTTTTCATTTTGGGATCCTGTCGTGTTGGGTTATTTTTACATCTGGAATGAGCTGCCCAGGTTGAACAGCATTTGTGACAGGCTGTGTTTGAGGATGCTTTTAAAATTCAGAGCAAAACTTAAATTTACTTGCTGTTATGATTTCTGTTGGATGTGGGGATTTGTAGGCTGTTTCCACTAACATAAACTAACTTATTATTCACTATTGATCTAAGAATTTTAGTGACTTGATTTCTGAATGGTCCCTGAATGTATGGCTTTTGAGCTCTTGCTATTATGCCTTTCCTGGAAAACAAAGTGAGCTTTTCATGCTTGAGTAAACACATTAATGCATTATGAAACTGTCAGACTCTTTGAGCAATTGGCATAAGCTCAATTATTCAAATATGTGCCTTGTTTGAATGGCTTTTGTGTCATCTCTTGCTTTAGAACAACCAGCATAAAGAAATTTTAATACCTTTCTTTAAGAAATTAAATCTCCACTGTATGATTAAAGAAATCCAGGAGTAGTCCTTTAATTGAGCACTTTCATTATCATATGTAGCTAATTGGTATCATTCATTTGCTGAGATTCATAGTTCATTTTAGTTTAAAATCTCTTTTTTTGTTAAGAAAATGATTTAAAGTTGTTCATGCATTTTCCTTATCAGCTAGCTTAACTTTTTTCCTATGTTTCCTTCCTGTCTGTCAGCATGCTCACGTTTTTTTTTTAACTTGGTGCACGCACAATTTTGTTTTCTTTTAATATTATATTTGTATTGCAAAACTTTTTCACATATGGACTTTACAGTAGGTATTTTTGTTGCTTACTACTGAATTATTTGATATGTTGATCATTTCCCTTATTGACATGGATATTTTTCATTATTACTGATAATAATTCAAAGACATATTGTGCATTGTAGCTTGTTTTTCTTATTTTTAATTATATTTACAAGGACAGGTGCCCTAAAATACTGTTATGTTGGTGGACTTGTAGACATTTGTTTTATGTATTGCCCACTTGCTTTCCAAAAGACGTGACCTTCTTTTGATTACGTATGTATACAATCCCTTGTTACGTATGTAAACAAACAAAAAGGATGAAACCTATTGAATGTCAGTATCCTTCAGAATTACCATTTGGAGAACTCTGTAATTTAGTAGAGACTTTTTCTTTTGTAAATTCAATTTCTACTTTTAGAAAAGTAATATATGCAAATAGTTTTTTAAAAAATCCAATAAGCCTTGTATTGTGACGATGAAGAACAGCAGCCTCTTGCCCTTCTCTTCTTGGATATTTATACTGATATTTCCCCACATTGCTAAATGGCTTCCTTTTAAAGTTTTTTTTTTTTTAACTCACTGATTTCCTTCTATGAAGATTGAGACTTTAGCACTTAGTTTCTTTTCCATCCTCTCAATATTGAATATCTGTTTTTATCAATTTAGAGATATTAAAATATTATGAATGTAAGTATTGTTCATAACCAAGTCTTGTATTTATGTTGTATCTTCTTATACTTGATATTTTTCCTGCAATTAATAACTCCTTCCTTTTTTGCTTGCTTCATTTTCCCTATTCCTGTGTCTAATTTATCACCATTCATTCTTGTTTCTAATTTATCACCCAGCACATCTTCTAAACATATCAGGTAATTCCTCAGATGGGCTTTTATTTTTATTTTTTTCAAAATTCTCCTCTGGGAGCCTTCGTATTATCTCCGGTTGCTCTTAGGGCCTGCTGCTCAGCTGACATCTTGTAATTCCCTTCACTATTTTATCCTTGGAATTTCCTTTGTCTCTTTCTGTTTTGTTGGTTCTCTTATTTCTGAATCTTAGGTCCTTTTCTTAGATTTACTTTCACATTTTGATGGATTCCTGAGAACGATGCCAGGAAGATAAAGTTTTGAGACCATGCGTGTCTGAAAATGTCTTTTTTTATTTTGTCATCATACTTGATTGATAATTTGGGTGGGTATGTAATTTTAGGTTGAGAATAATGTTTTCTTGGGATTTTGAAGTCCACTGTCTTCTTATTTTCAAGGTTGCTGTTGAGTCCAATGCCATTTGGGTTTCCAGCTCTTTGATCTGCCCCCTGCACTGCCTCCCTGGTCTCTGGAAGCTTCAGAATAGTTTATTCTGGATTTCTGAAATTTTATGATACTCCTTGATAATTCTACTTGTCTTTTATTCATTTTATTGGCCTCATGGTGGACCATTTCAAACTAGAAATGCATGTTCTGCATCCCCTGTGTGTGTTTTCTCTTTGTAATACCTGTTAGTTGGCTGTAGTACCTTGTGGGCCAATCCTTTCATTTTCCTGTCTTTCCTCTCCCATATCTCCATCTATCTCATTCTTTTTATTCTTCTTTCTGAGGGATTTTATTAACTTCATTATTACCTCTTTTATTGGTTTTTTTCATTAGTTGTACAGTATTTTTTAATTTCTAAGAGCTTATTTCTTCTTTTAAGCTTGCTTATTATGGCATATTTCATATTTCTCTTATTTCTCTGAGGGTATTAATTATATTTTTCAGGTGATGAAGTTTCTTTCTTTTCCCTGCATCTTATTTATTTCTTCTGAGTTGTGGGCATGTGGACACTCTCTTGCATGTTTAGGGGCTTTCCTCATGTGTTGAGAGAACCTTGGCTCTGTTTAAGTGAAACATCCAGGCACTTAAAAAAAAAGAAAATCAAGATGATTGGGAGCTCTCTGTGCATGGGTGGGGCTGATAACCTGGGGCTTCTGTGTACTATGATCCATGTCTGTTCCTAAGCCTCGGAGAATTACTGTGGGAGAAGTGGGTGGGGTCTCACTGATCAGGCATTGACTCAGTCCCCCTGTTTATAGTAGAGCACCTCGCCCCTGTTCTCAGCTGTGCTTAGAGTCAACTCCTTCAGAGAGGAAATTTCCAGTCTCCTGCCTGGCCATGCAGGGTAGGGAAGAGGATATGGGGTTCTGACTGCTCACTATGTAAATTTTTGACTAGTTCTCCTTCCTTGAGAGGTACCTGGACCTAATTTCCTATTGGCTGCTCACTCCATAGGCTTAAATTTCTTTGTTTTGATTCTTTTGTTAGTTACCATTTGTTCATTTTCTAGCTTCAAGGATTTTGATGCATACCTAGTTCTTGTTCCCTCTCTTTTTTTTTAAGCCAACTGTATATTTATTCGTTTTAATGACATGCCAGGCGTTTAAGTGTGGGACCCACTGAACTTGATGGCCTTTGAGGGCCCTTTGGAATCTTACATTTTTTTAATTGAAGTATAGTTTATTTACAATATTGGCTTCAGATGCACAACACAGTGACTCAGTAGCTACCCATATTACTTAATGCTTACCACAATAAGTGTAGCTACCATCTGTCTCCACACAAAAATATTACAATATGATTGGCTGTGTTCCCCATGATGTATTTCCATCCCTGCAATTCCCCTCATTTTTAATTGTCTGTGTACATTTACTTCATATTTTTATATCTATATCCATTTATATAAATTCCTTTAGTGTCATTTTAGTACAGTGCTTAAAGGGTGTGGGGAAAAAGGCAGGTGCTCAGTGGGCCATGGTTGATGGAAGTATTTAATGCAGACTCTTTTTTAGATTGGTCAAAAATAATTTCTTCTCTTCCACACATTTGGGGTGTGTGTGTGTGTATATATATGTGTGTGTGTGTGTATATATTTTTTCCTGTTGCACAATAGTTCCTATTAAAAATGTCTTAAAATGTTTCATTTTAATTTTCACATGTTTATTTGACATATTTGTTTCTATAAGTAGATTTAATATCAGTTTCTATAAGTAGAAAATGTGACCACCTATTGGATAGTATAAAGTAGTAATAGTATAATTACTGTTCTCGTTGAGTTGCTTATTCATTTTCTAAAACTTAATTTTGACATAATTGTAGATTGATGTGGGAGGTTGTAAGACCACACAGGTGTCTTGTACCCAGTTTGTCCCAGTGGTAACATCTTCCTATGCCTTGTGCAGTATCAAAATCAGGAAATTGACATTGGTACAGCCTTCAATTTCTAAAAGACGTAATTGTTTTAAATTTCATATTAGAAAGAAGGCTTACATTGCAAATATATAAGACTCATGTGAATTTATTTTGTCTTTCAGCAATTTTTCCAGCTAGTCAAATTACGAAAGCTTGGACTTAGTGATAATGAAATTCAGCGGCTTCCTCCAGAAATAGCAAACTTCATGCAGCTGGTGGAACTTGATGTGTCTCGAAATGGTAAGAAAAAGATTCCATAGGAATCGCCCATTTGTCTCTTCTGATGCTGGGGGTGACTGTTAGTAAGTAGAGCTCGGTAAATGTTATTGGAGGTGCTCCTCCTGATGGCTGTGGGAAAGCTATGCATACATTTTGAGATGAGATTTACACTATTATTGAATAGTTTGGTCAACTTACCGAAAAATTTTCATAGCAGTTTTTAGATGATAACTTTCTCAAAGTAGGTTCGATGTGGTTCACAGAGCTGGAGAGTGGAGTGGGGAATCATGTGAGCTAGCCCCTCCTCATTTTACTGCACGTGACCTTGAGGGCTGGTGGCGTGGTCATGTGCTTCGTGCTGAGTGAGGGGAAACCACCCTGGGGAAAGGTCGGATTCTCCTGCTGTGGCCCAGTTGCCCGGTGTGCTCCTGTGTGAATCCACCTCCCTGCAGTGAGCACCTGCTTGCTGTTCAGGCATCTTCTGTCAGTTTATTTCTAATTAGGCCATGGTGGTTCTCCCCATTTGAGTTTGTGTGGTGTATTTATGAGTTTGTTTTGATTTCCAGAGTTCACTCTGTTGCTTCCTTTCTATTGAACATTCTAGTAGGATATTTATATCCTGTTTGACCCTTCCCTTTTAAATGGGTACCCTGTTTAACGTTGAGATTTTATAGCAGGTGGGCTGGTACGCCTGCTTGTTATAGCATTTTTGGTTAATTATGTAAGTTAAAGTGGCCACTCCCAGTGGTCTGGTCTTTAGTGATGGAATTTAGTTCTTGTGGGGACTCTGGTATAATCTACCCGGGATGGACCCCTGTGTACTCTTGAGTCATTTATGAAAGTGATAATCCTTTCCTTTCTCTTATATCACCTACATGTTTTTATGTTTTGTTTTTCTTTCCTACATAAATCTGTAAGTTTCTTCTCAATGAACCTCAGGTCTGGATCTTTTAATCTCATGGCTCCCATAGAAACCCCAAGGCTCAGACTCAGTGTCTTTTGGTGGTGGGGTGGGGGGGCTTGGTCATTGTTAGGACACAGCTGTGGTATCAGTACTTGATTGAAAACACGGTGAAATAAAAATGATTTTACATTTTTTTACTTTCAGCAGCTTTTAAATTTCTATCAGCTCTCAGATCCCATAAATTGGAAATATCTTTCGGCCAGGTCCTGTATCTTGACATGGGGCATACTTTTATTTTTCACGAGAATTCTCTTTTAGCTTGAAGGTATTAGAAAAAGTGAAAAAGGCTTATTCATTTTCTGAGCCTTGTTTTAAATTGGTTTGGTTGGTTGCAGGGGGCCCAGATTTCCTTAGGTAAAGAGGATTTGATCATAAGGATAGGGTGGAACTGACGTTCCAAAAGCTTTGGCACGGAGCTCTCAGTTGACACCGTCTTCGTCGGTCTGACGGCCTCTGTCTTACAGTGTGTCTGCTTCTGTTATACGTGCTCTGTTCTTCCCTTTTTACTGACCTGCTGTTTTGGAACTGGACTCTCCAGAGCCAATTTGTTGCGGTCTCTTTCCATGTGCTTTGTGGCTTCTGCCTTGCTGTGGCATCTGTTTGTCCTGACAGTTTTCTCAGTGAGGAGTGTTTGGCCCAGCTCATCTTTTTAAGCCAACTGTAAGCCATAAGCTACGGGTCACCAGACCCCCTAATGATTGGCTGCCTGGGGACAGGGGTGGCAAGCAGTACAAAGTGTGGCCCTGCTGCTTAGCACCGATGCTGCTGATGGGTGGCTTCTTCCCTTATGCAGGAGCGTGGTGTGGGGCAGGCATCTGGGGCCAGTGTTGCCTCTGAGGCTATCCTATATCTATGGTACAAGTAACTGAAACTGTTCTTGTCTTAGCAATTATCACAGTTACGAAGAGTAGCTGGCTATTAATTCTGTAAGGAAGCAGTGACTCTGTAAAATGGTCACTGAAATTATACAATCTGAAGAAGTAAGAGCAATTTTGAGATTGGCATTAGAAAAGAAATTAAGCAAGGATCCAGAAATACTTAAGAGGAGAAGTATTGGCTTTAATTATTTGGGAAGAAAGAAAAGCATAGAGTTTGAAAGTTCCTAGCTGCATATTAACTGTAATGGGGGAGAGATGCTCTGTGGAAAGCCGGTGTCGTCAGCTGCCAGCTTTAGCAGTTCCCCCGTCAGCTGTTTCTTTCCAAACAGTCACACCTAGAGAACGGCTACCTGGTCCCTCTTAGGTGTCCATGTGTACCTTCCGGTATGTTGATAAAAGCAGCCAAGCTTTCGCTGAAGTCAGTGTCAGTCCTCTACGTGGGATACATACCCTCTTTTTTTTCTTCCTTCCTCATTTTCAATCTTTCTGCAGGTGTTAGAGTTTGTGCAGGATCCTTGCAGGTTTTAGAAATGCTGAGGGGGATTTAACTTCCCACTTCCCCAACTGGGAGAGCCTTGCTGCAGCTCAGTAGCATTAAGGGGTGTGTGTGTGTAGGTAGGGGGGCAGTGGACAGCGGCCAGCATAGAGGAGGATGGCAGGTCAGGGCTTTCTTTGAGGCTGAGAAAAAACTGCACAGAGCAGAACAAGGTCACTGTTTGCCAAAACCAATAGGACCATGGGTCTTGAGCTATTTCCAGGCCAGGCACATCTCAACTTTGTTTCCTCTAATTTTTTTGTGGCTAAAAATCACATTAATGTAAACTTCATAGGCAACTGATTAGGTAAATAAAGTCACAAAGTCTGTAGCCTGAGAGGCAGTGTGAAAACCCATATTTTGGTGGGTACAGGCATTGGTAAGGGTTTGAGGCTTGTGTCTAGAAGCCTCTGTGATCCTCTAGTCTCCTGTTGCCCCACCTGAGGCTTCCCCGTCCATGAGCAGAACTTGCTCCTTTTGAGTCCTTACTAGTTCCTGGGTTGTAGTAGGTCCATATTCTGGGCTGGCCACTGTTATGGTAGGACTTTCACTGGCTTCCTCATTTACTTATTTTCCGGAGAGTGTTGCTTGACCATAGAGGAGGAAGGCAGGACGTTGGTATCAGGCCACTCAAATCCATTGGATCAGTGCTTGTCATACTTGAACGTGCAATGAATTACCTTAGGATTCTATTAAACTGTAGATTCTGATGTAGTAGTTCTAGAGTGGGGTTTGAGATTCTGCATTGCCAAGAAGCTCCCAGAGATGCCAACCCTGCCAGTCCACAGAACACACTGAATAGCAAAATCCCATAAGCCTGCTGCTAACATTCCTTCAGCAGTTTCGTGTGTTTATAGCTCACATTCAGTCAGCTTCTGCAGCCCTGTGTGGAAGGTGGGAGACCTTCAGGATATTCCTGGTTAAAGGGTGAGGTGCAAGAGGTGACATAAGCTCAAGTTGGCTGTGATTCCAGAAACAAAATTAGACCTTTCCTGATGTTTGCTTGCTTAAGTGAGGGAGAAAAGGCAAGTTTTGTGTTTGTCTCAAAAAAAAAGAAATCTGTAGATGAGGAGGAGAGAAGTTTTTACAGGCTTGTTTTCTAGGCCAAGAAGAACTGCCAAGACCTCCAAACCCTGACTTTTGTGGCTTTGTTTTCTGATATTTCAGGCACAAAGTCAAGGGAACCAAGTGTTGTGTTAGAAAAAAGGAGAATGGGCTTAGGGAGAAAGAAGGCAGTGGTTATAGGTTATAGATAGATGTGGGGAGTTCTTACGAGGGAAAAGTAGAGAGGCTTATAATGAACATAGAGTATATGGTTTTGTCCCAAGACTGGTTAGATGTGCTCGACAGAGAGGACTCTGGGTGGGAGCTTGGGCTCTGCACTTTAGTAGTTCTAGAGTGGGGTTTGAGATTCTGCATTGCCAAGAAGCTCCCAGAGATGCCAACCCTGCCAGTCCACAGAACACACTGAATAGCAAAATCCCATAAGCCTGCTGCTAACATTCCTTCAGCAGTTTCGTGTGTTTATAGCTCACATTCAGTCAGCTTCTGCAGCCCTGTGTGGAAGGTGGGAGACCTTCAGGATATTCCTGGTTAAAGGGTGAGGTGCAAGAGGTGACATAAGCTCAAGTTGGCTGTGATTCCAGAAACAAAATTAGACCTTTCCTGATGTTTGCTTGCTTAAGTGAGGGAGAAAAGGCAAGTTTTGTGTTTGTCTCAAAAAAAAAGAAATCTGTAGATGAGGAGGAGAGAAGTTTTTACAGGCTTGTTTTCTAGGCCAAGAAGAACTGCCAAGACCTCCAAACCCTGACTTTTGTGGCTTTGTTTTCTGATATTTCAGGCACAAAGTCAAGGGAACCAAGTGTTGTGTTAGAAAAAAGGAGAATGGGCTTAGGGAGGAAGAAGGCAGTGGTTATAGGTTATAGATAGATGTGGGGAGTTCTTACGAGGGAAAAGTAGAGAGGCTTATAATGAACATAGAGTATATGGTTTTGTCCCAAGACTGGTTAGATGTGCTCGACAGAGAGGACCCTGGGTGGGAGCTTGGGCTCTGCACTCAGCACCAAACAGACTTTGGACAGGCCTCTCCTGATGGTGTTGGGCTTAGTTCTCTGAAGGAGTGGGACAAGGTTCTGTTTCCCATTTGAACCCAGTGAGATGCAAGGAAACTGGTGGATTTCTTATATCCTACCTTGTTGGATTATTATTTTAATCAGGCAAATAGCTAAAATATGTATGGGATTAAAAAAAAAGTAGGTGTTTAAAGAATGATAGGAGTAGATGAAATTGTATATGAACATGCTGTTAAAATGTCTGAAGAAACATAATAGGCTTTGAATTAAGGTTTGAACCAGTTTTCTGTGGTGCGATGCATACACTTGAATGCCTGGACTTCCCGTCTTCTTTAGTCAGCTCACTGATTCTCAGCTGTTTGAGGAAAATGATTTCTGGATTTGTGAGAAGAAATATTACACCACAGTGCTATCTTCCTACCCAAGAATATAGGGCAGACTCTATGAATGTACCATGAATCCTGCCTGAAGGTTAGTAATTTGAATTTTATGCTCTATGCTGTAATTTAGCTTACATCATAGTAGTATATCATTATCCATTGAGCTCAGTTTTTCCCAAAGTGTAAAGCATA